AACATCCCACACCATTTCAATACCTAAACCTTATTTTTTTTTTTTTTAAATTCTAAAAAATTCTCATTTTTTTCCTATAAATACCTAAACCATTCTTTCACCATTCCTCACAAAATTTTCACCATTCCTACACCATTTCAATTTTCATATTTTCTTACCTCTTCCAAAAATATTTCCTTCAATTTTTTTCAATAATTTTCAAATGGCCTCGTCTGCAATGAAAGGTAGAGATTGGACCCGAAAAGAAGATGAAACTCTTTGCAAGGCTTCTAGATGGGTGTCGGAAGATAGTGTGAGGGGGAGTTCTCAAACAAGTGAAGGTGTTTGGACTCGTGTGTCCAAAAAATACTTAGAGTTCTACGAATGCACCACTCCTCCGAATATCTGAAACCATAAGAGTTGTTCTTCAAGATGGAAGAAACATCTTTAGCCAGGTTTGAACAAATGTCATCAAGCACTGTTTGTCACATCCCGGCCCGGGGTGGAACACTTCCCTGGCCCGCTCCACCACCGTAGCACGATATTATCCGCTTTGGGCTTACCATTCCCTCACGGTTTTGTTTTTGGGAACTCACGAGCAACTTCCAGTGGGTCACCCATCATGGGAGTGCTCTGGCCACCTTCTCGCTTAACTTCGAAGTTCTGACGGAACCCGAAGCCAATGAGCTCCCAAAAGGCCTCGTGCTAGATAGGGATAGGAATATACATTTAAAGATCACTCCCCTGAGCGATGTGGGATGTCACAATCCACCCCCTTAGGGGCCCAACGTCCTTGTCGGCACACCACGGCCAAGGTTAGGCTCTAATACCAATTGTCACATCCCGGCCCGTGGTGAACCACTTCCCGGGCCCGCTCCACCACTGTAGCACGATATTGTCCGCTTTGGGCTTACCATTCCCTCACGGTTTTGTTTTTTGGGAACTCACGAGCAACTTCCCAGTGGGTCACCCAGCATGGGAGTGTTCTAGCCACCTTCTCACTTAACTTCGGAGTTCGGAACCTGAAGCCAGTGAGCTTCCAAAATGCCTCGTGCTAGATAGGGATAGGAATATACATTTAAGGATCACTCCCCTGGGCGATGTGGGATGTCACACTGTTAGTAGCTGCAAGTAGACATGAAAACAACGCTAATTACTACGATGAAGTAAGTGTTTTCACAATTTATTTTAAATATTTAATTATATTACATATAATTTCATAAATTAATTTTCTTTAATTTTTGTAATTATATTTTCTAGGTACGCCAAGCGAATGAATTTTATATGGAGGGCAGCTTGAAACCTTTTCAGTTTCACAGTTGTTGGGAAATTTGTAAAGGGTGGGTGTTATTTGAAGATCCACCTCAACATAGAGTAGGTCTTACACCGGTATTCAGAACTGCATCCTTAGCTGTAGATATGGATGAAGATGAATCTCCTACCATTCAACAAACAAGGGTAGAAAATCCGTCTTCGGGTGAAGGTTCCAAATCTAGGGCTATGTGACGAAACAAGGCCCGAAGGTTGAAGGAAAAGGGCAAGGCAAATGATGATTACGCCGCTCAATAGGAAGTGGCGGCCTTATTGCGATTAATGACGGAGCAAAATGCTATTGCCGCGGAAGAAAAGAATCGTAGGCATGAAGAACGGACCAAACAAATACAAGAAGAGATGGATGATAAGAATATGGAAAGGAACACTTCGAATTACACTCCAATGAGTAAAGCCTATTTTGATAGGAAAAAAAAATATTATAACCCAGCAGTAGTTGTTTACCTCTAACTATACTTCTACAATGGCGGAAGATGAAGATGATGTTGATTATGAATATTAAATTTAAGTTGTTGTAGTTTTTAAATTTAAATTAATGTAGTTTTTAAATTTAATTTGTAGTTTTTAAATTTAAGTTGTAGCTTTTAAATATAAGTTGTATGTTTTAAATTTAAGTTATTGTAGTTTTTAAATTTAAATAATAAATTATGTTTGGCCCTATGACCCTTTGGCCTTCGGTTAAAGATGGTTTTTTGTGACAGGGCTCAAACGAGCCCTATGGCTTGGGCTGGTTCGGTATGGGATACCGAACCGAAATGCAAGTCCCGATTCCCAAACCGAAGTTTTCGGGAATCCCAAATTCAATACCGATCTCAAACCAAATTTTCAGGAATCCCGAAATAGTTTCGAGCTTTCGGACAATTGGGAATCCCAAAATAGTTTTGGGCTTTTGGGCTATTGGACTAAAAATTTAAGAGAGAAATATTGCTTAAAGAAAGAAACATGTACAAATACATAAGCAAAATGGGAACCTAAAATCTAGCAACAGGTATCCGCAACAAGCTCAGTAGCTTCTTTGTACTTCGTTTGGGCAAAAAGTTCTTGAAAACGCTAGACAACCTGTAAAAATCATGTAGGAACATCAGAAATTAAAGTATAGAGGACCAAAGAGATTCAATATCATATAATCAACAGGACCAAAGAAGTTACAGTCAATTCGATTATGGCAATAGATTAAAAATGTTGATCATTCTTCATTCGAAAAGGCATGAATCATGATACAATGATCATTGATCAACATAACACTAGAGTTCATCTGTTGCTCCAGCTTATCTTGTAATTTTTATATTCTTCAACATATATTGCAGGATGTTCTAATATGTAATGTCACATTCATAATATAGTGGAATAAAATCATAAAATGGTAACCTTCATCCAGAAACATTCAACATAATAATCACCATCTCATTAATAAGTACACAGGTTGCAATAGTTTTTCGCAACTATTCTTACGAAAAAAAAAAGGAAACAAGCTTTTCGTAGATAATTGTTAACATAAAAACATAACAAGGAGAGCAACCATGGCCGATGCCTAACACTAGCTACATTCATATGCATCAAATCAGATTCAAAATGAAGAGAGAGAGAGAGAGAAAGAGAGAGAAAGACGGAGCATAATAGATATATGAAAAGGTCCTCACGTTTCGTTGTCAACAATAATGCAGGTAAATGCTGAGTTCAAAAAAATGATAGCAATATTCAGATTGCACAACAGTCAAGTCCTATTTGTTCAACTTCATTAGTATACAAATGCAAATGCAAATGCAAATTAACACATTGACTGTATTGCCACAATACCTCCAGTTCTTGCTTGCGTGCTTCCTCCCTTCTCGTTTCTGACCAAATGCAAACTGTAAATACATTTGTGGTGCTGCATTACAAACATTCCAAAATCCCACGGTTAATTCTGAACTCCATTCATCAATTTACACCAACTCTTGAAATTCATTTCAGTAGCTACAATTATTGCTACAACTATTAACTATGAACTATCAACCCGTAACAAATTTATGCTTCAATTGTGATTATGTGATAGAAGAGAAACCCTAATCTTGAATTCCAACACCAATTCAACCCCTAAACCCTCAGTATGCAGTATACTCTATCTTCCAAGTGCTAAATTTCACAATCCCTAATCTCGAATTCCAGCCCTAAATTAAAATTCAAACCCTAAATTAGCTTGTGAACTTTACCTGATTTGGGGGAGAATTGCACAATGCACTGGATGATTGGAATCGAGAGAGACTCAAAATGAGAGTGGCACCGATGGCCATGATTCATGAAGGAAGGCTCATCCACTGTGACTCTGTGTGGGATGAAAAATCGAGAGAGACTGAGAAAGAGATCAGAGAGGTGATAGTCGAGAGAGATGTGACTCAGGTGAGTCACTTGTGTGGCCGGATTCGAAAACGGAGAGACAAATCGGCGATGAGGGTGGTGAGGTGAGGGTTTGAGTCTGAGGCGAGCGGCGAGAGAGAGTGAGTGAACTGAGAGTCGAGAGAGACGGGAGAGACAAAGTGTAAGTGTAGATTTGATTTCTATTCAACGGTTGAGATTAAATCTCAACCAAATCCGACGGCTATTACAATTTCAAATATATATTTAAAAATTAAATAATATATATATTTTTTATTTCGGTTCGGTATGGGAATACCGAAAAAACGAAAACTTGAAACCGATTCCCATACCAAAAATTTTGGTTTGGTTTGGTATTGGGTACCAAACGTTTCGGGAATTTTTCGGTTTGGTTTCAGGAATTTTTTCGGTTTGGTTTGGGAAATTCGGTATTTTTTTCCACCTCTACCTATGGCCATTTGGCCCTCGGTTGGAAATGGTAAGAAATATGGTACTGCACTATTTATTAAAATATTAATTTCTTTGAGTCCAGAGAAGATGGCCTCACAAAAAGTATCCGGATTCAATTATATGATCTCTAGCTGCCATATGAATATATGGGTGGGTGGGTATAAGTTGCTCTGGGTCCGACTGTGAGAGATGACATTATTATGACCATCCAAAATAATAATAATAATAATAATTACTGGTAGGGGTTGTTATCGTGACATTTTGCAAATATGAATGATACAAAAGTTCCCTTATGTGGTCTTTTAGTGGATAGAATGTTGAGTTTTTACCTATACGTTCGGGATTCAAAACTCTTCCTCTCCTGAATTGCCGTAATAGTTTTGAACTCTCACCTTAATCATGGTAATTTTTTTTTCAAATGATACAAAAGCTTCTTTCACTCAACATTATATTATTGGCACAATATGTTATTGTGATAATATTTATGAGAATATGAGTTGCTCTTCAAGACAAAGCAAAATTTTGATAATATAACGGTCACGCTATTACATAATATTATTAATCAATTTACGTGTTCGCGTGTTATAGTATAAATAATGATTTACTCGTTTTTCATATACCCCATATGATCACTATTGCACTACAATGAATTTGACACTTTTTGCTCAAGATCTTGTGCTTTATAAACCTTATGCCAATTTAGACCATAGGACCAAACCAAACAAATATATAATTTGGTCATGTACATGACATGACACGTGGCACATTGGTATGACAGAGAACCACATCCTCTTGTCCCAACACTTTTGCCGCAATTTTGAAGTGACTTTCTCAAATGACGTCGCATGATTAGCACGCCAGTCTTGACAATTTGTTCATTCGTGTCCTCCAATAAAATACTTTTTGGCATTTGGTTCTTGAATCTCAATATTTCTTTTTTTATTGGATAAAACAGAAACTCCATTGAAATTTGAAACCATGGACGAATTCAACAACTTACAAAATATTCAACCCTGAACGCTACCTAATGCCAGCCTCGCAATAAACTAACCCACCAGTGTTACCCTAAAAAGTAACAATTAACAAAGGAACATGCTATTGTTTTCTGGTCTTCCACTCCATAATTGCAGAAAGAAGAGTATAGTTTAGTATAACATCCTTGTTTGGCAATGGCAAATTTGTCATCGGTGAGTTATCGTTCTCTTCGAGCCATTTCTCGATCGCTTTGCGGTCATAAGTGTAACCATCTGCGGCCACACATGGCTCATCCATCACATCCTGTAACAAAAGAACACGGCATACAGATTACTTGGTGGAATAAGTCATAAAAAACTATGTATTCTGTCACACGTCGAGACTCGCTAATGTTGTGTTTAACAGTAAGAATTTGACACTGAACTGCCAAAGATTATGCGTACCTTAAGAATTGGACAGATGAAGTGGTTAGGAGGTAGGCATTGAACCGGAGGAGCTGAATTTTTTGCTGTATCAGCAACCTCTTTCAATCTCTCAAGTGTGGTGCCATCCATTGCTCTACCACTCCTCTGTGACACTGCAAATCCTCTGTAGCAAGTAGTAGCAAAAAACAGAAGCATAAGTAAATAACTTAGCATTTCCAATACAACAATTAGCATAAAAATGAAGTAAATAGGAGTAAATTAGAGAGAGAAGTTGAATTGCAGACCCAAAAGTGAATTTTCAAAAAACAATCCTCCAACTACGAAAAAGAACAAAAATTTCGAATAATCATGATTTTCGCACGCTTTTTTTTTCTTCTTCAACGCACACATGTTCTTGCTTTATTCGATTCAATATCTAAAAATAACAAAAGATGAGCAAAAAAAAAAAAAAAAGAACGTAAAAACTCAAGATAATAAAAAAGTATGCGAAAATCATTTCCCGACAAATATTCAATTAGCCGCCACTCAAAAGTTCAAAGAACAACACAAATTCGAAAACACAGAAAAACAAAGCACAGAAAACAAAAGAAGAACAGCATACCAGATGGTCGAGCTTCAAGACTCAAACTTTTTCTGAACTCCTATTGAGAAAAGAGCTCCATTTATGTTTCTCTCTGCAAAAACATGTTAACATTCAACCACAAGTTGCAGAATTGGAATTTTAGCTGGTCAGAAGCAGATGACCTCACAAATGCAACCAAGCTTAAATTTGTCTCGCCTCTAAAAATTTCAGAGCCTAACTTTGGCATGACTCGTGACTCGTGATTCGTGAGGCATTTCTTATATGGTATATCTGAAAGCTACAAAAACGAAATATAATTATCTATTGGATTTTTTTAATCAAATAAATAAAAAAGGACCAACTTGAGTAACCTTGTTTCTTGTACGACTTTTTAGTCTATATTTGTTTTCAAAGCAATGTAAACTTGATTTTGTATCTATCACTTGTCGAAAATCAGAACTAATAATTAATTTAAAGAAACACCTAAAATATTAGTAACTCCTTATCCAACGGTCAAGATCAGGCTGTTGAAAATCCAATGCTCTCATGCACCGCGTCATCGAGCTGTTGGGTTCTTCTGTTGGAGCTGTTGCAATAGAACCCACTGTTGCAATGCAAGCTTCATTGGCAAACGTCAACCTTGCCTGATGACGCAAGACAAGACTAAAATTACACGGGCATTTGAGTGAGCATGGCCGTGCCACCACTTGCTCTCCTTATTTTGGCCCGTTGAAGTTGTTCTGGGCAATTACTCTTGCCCAAAACAAACGGATGGAAATGCTCTTAAAGGTACAATTGAAGGAGGCTGCTTTGTTTTCCACATGAATTTTCGACATTTTTTTTTTCACTCTTTTCTAACCCGTATTAATTTCGGCTCAACAAGAAATAAAGTTGTAATCTTGGACTGCTTCACGGAAGAGTTTGAAAATCCACCGCGTTTGGACTCTTATCCTAAAAGGCTTAGGATAAGAGCAAATTCGATGCTTCGTAAACCACCATGGGATTTCACTTTCTCCTATTTATTTGCTAATTAGAAGTTAGTTATTAGGGGACCTACTTTGGTTGTTGGCCTATGATTCTGTGACTATCAGACATCACGAGGAGATAGAGACATAAGCATGTTAAAGTCCTTTTATATTATATATAGTTGACTGATTAGTTAGCAGCCGGTGCATAGAACTTGACTGGTTATTTCCTGGAAGCTGCACGAGATTTCATAAGATACTTTGCATGTGTATGTATAATGTCTCTGAAGTCTGAATGCATGCACCGTGCATGCTCTTAATTAGAATTTTGAACATCCAATTAAGCCCAAAGTGAGTGGTTTAAATTCATTTTTCTTAAGTGATTGCTTTGGTGACATGTTTACTCCAATATGGGTATTACAATTCAGAGTTATTTTCATTTAGTGTTTAAATTTTCTTTGATACAGTCAATATTTTTGTGGAAGTATTGGAAAAATCATAGAAAATTTTGAAAGCGGAGGTGAAGTCTAAATTATGAGTATTAAGCCCAAAGTGAGTGGTTTGTATTCGTTTTTCTTAAGTGAATTTTGGTGGCATGCATGTTTACTCCATGAGTTTCTAGAATATTAGTGCTAAAATTTAAAATTATTTTCCATCTAAGAGAAAATTTGTTGATTTTACATCCAAATTTGGACTCCAATATTTTGGGGATTATACAAATTAATTAATAATGATCATTTGTTTCCATTAAAAAGATAGATTAAGAAGAGTATCCAAAGTAAAACAAGAGTGACCACAATTGAAGATAAAATGAGAGAAAATTAGTTAAGGTGATTTGGATACTGTGAATTGAAGACCTACAAATTTTTCAGTTAGAAGATGCAAACTATGAGACGAAGATAGATAAAGACTTAAAAATACTTAGAAATAAACTTTAAAAAATATATAGAGTATTCAGAACTAACGAAAAACTTGGCAAAACCGAACTCAATTCCCAAAAAAACAAGGCTATTTGTTAGATTTTAAAAATTCAACCTTATACAGCATGAAAACATGCCATTTTTGGCTTTTAGGTCAAAAGATCATTTCTTTTCACTTGGGACAAATCGCCTCCTGTACATGGGCTCCAATTTCTTTGTCTAATTCTGCTATAAGTATTTGAGCTGTAGGATTATTAGAAAGAAAAAAAAAAAACAGTAAAACCTTCACACAAGTTAGAGCAGAATTATATATGTACAAATTATAATTAAAAATTAAATCCTGAAAAAATTGATCGCGAAGACCAACAATTACCATGGCTGACTTACACAGTGAGTTCAAAGAGAACAAAATTAAGCTGGTCTGAAGCTTTTGACTTGGCAGTTCCTTTCCCATGCATGTAGATTAGTCATGTGTTCACACCAACTTTGATATAACCTATTTTCGAATGAGGATCCTTTCCTGTGAGAATTCTGAGGATTTTTAAATCGTGTTCGTTCATCGTATATCGTGTGATTAGTTTCTGTCAAGTACTATTCATATTTAATTTTAAATAAAAATAGTTAAAATAATTTCTAATTGCATGATATACGATGAACAGACAAAATTTAAAGATTTTTAGGATCTCACAAAGAGGATCCGGAAAGCAACCTCATTCCCTATCTTCTATTGCTTTTTGTTGGCAGGTGATCACTAGGTCTTTTGTTTTCTCTATATATTTATAAATATAGGTCGTCTGGTTTTCTTTGATCGACATTTGGATTTCTCTGTTCAAAAGTAGGTTAGAATCTTGTATGTTGAATAGCTAGGGTGTAAAATTTATAATGTTTCTGTAAGACACAACCAGCTAAAATAAATAAAAAAAATGGGGTTTTTTAAAACAAAAAGGTGCTCGCAAGGCAGGGTTGAGAGAGACATAAGGCTCTGACTTGTAGCTAATGGATTCGCTCAAACGGAGGAAGTAGATTAGATTGAAACTTTCTTTTTAGTATTTGCAGAAGATTCTTTAAGGATTATAATGGCATTGTACAACTCATTTTAATCTTGAATTACATCAAATTGATGTAAAAACTGACTTTCTAAATGCAAGCTTGGATGAGCAAGTGGTCATTTACTACAGTGGTAGAAAAGTGTTGAGCTTTTGCATGACGACGTGGGTTTGAACTTCATCAATGACTAATCTAACATTTAATCTAATAAAATCTATCATTTGACAAAAAGAAAAAAAAAACAATGGAAGCTTGGATGAGGGCTCGTTTAGAAAATGCTTTTAAATGAGTGAAGTGAAAGCACTTTTAGAGAAATGTTTTTAGGTTTCAAAAGCAGTTGAAGCGCTTCTTGTAATTATATGCTTCTTGCAAAAAGTACTTCAAGTGTTTTTTCAAAATTAACTTTCATTTTTACTAATGATTTATTTCAAAAATATTTTTTCCTAAAAACATTTTCAGTCATTTAAAAGCGCTTCTCTAACGTGCCCGTATATGATTTAACCCACTAGATTTGTTGATAAGGGGAAGGACCATTTGGTATGCAAAATAAATAAATGAACTTATGGTTTGAAACAGATATCAAGGCAGTGGAAATCAAAAGTTTGATGAGGTGGTAACTTCATTTGGTTGTCGTCAACAAAATCGAAAACTCAATTTACACAGGGCAGATGCTTATTCAGAAAGCACGAAAAGCACTTTTAAAATTCTTGTCAAATGTGTTGTAAACAGGTTTTCATTATTTGAAAGCGCTTTTGGTCACCGCCAAGTTGGCGCGGGTCCTTGGTTGAGTAATTTCAATGAAGAAATATAGGCAATAATATTCTCAACTACTGTAAAATTATGACAATTTGCTACATTTCTACTTGTCCATAAGAAATCTGCACCATTGTCTACCAAATGGAATGCTCTAGCATACCCACTGCTGTGTCTCAACCACAAACCTCTTGTCGTAACGGTATCTGATGACTGATCATAGCGAACTAGCTACTTAAGGATCGTTGAGGCGCCTGCCTGTCCCACGGAAAGCAACTCCATCAGCCTGCTGTGTGGTGGTAGTAGTCCCGCTGCTTGTTTGTGGCTGCACTGGGGTGCTTGTTTGTGGCTGCACTGGGGTGCTTGTTCTAGTACTCCCGTTGAGTCGAAAGCTTCTTCCTCGGAATGCAACTCCGGCTTGTGGATTGCGCTCCACTGGGGAATTGACTTGGATTCCCTGACCCCAGAAGGCTACTAATTTGTGTCTGGTAATCCATGATTAAGGTCTACACATATGTACAGAAAAAATGGTGCTAATAAAAAAACAACAACAAAGCCTTATTCCACTAATTGCGATTGGTTGTATACATCGTAGAATGCCAAAACCAATCTCAGTGGCATTTTAGGATTTATACAGCCTACTTCATTTAGTGTGATAAAGTTTTGTTGTTGTTATTAAATCTCAAGACTAATGAAATGCAATATGTGTATGTGCACGGCAAAGGATACACCCAGAGAGGAGTCTTGAGAGTGAATTTTCCACCAGAAAGAGGATGAAGCACAGTTAAAAAGTAATAGAGATGACCTGCAACCATCCCCATAATATCTGGCTTCAAAGGAACTCCAAACATCAAATCCAGAGTCAGCAGTACGTAGGGAAGATAGAACCCCTACATACACACACAACATGGTCAATATGCTAGCCCTAATTAAATTGCCATGTTAAAAAAAGGTGGGAGGACTGTTGCTGGAAGGATTAAAGCGTTTTTATGACTACTTTGATAAGAAAAATAATTTAAAAGTGGTTATATAAGCGCATTCTAAAAAAACTTATTAAAGCACTTAAGCGGAAATATTTTTCAGAGAAACAATCGCATAATGGGATAGAAAGAGAGAATACTCGTATCCAACGGGGAGAAAAGTACCTTAAAGGACACAACACCAGCTATGTTGACACGTGAATTTGGGAACTCACGAGACCATACATAGACGATCATGAAAACCACAGAAGTTCCCATAAACGGAGACCATAAATATGGAACTGCAGCCATAGCCTTAAGAAAGAAAATCGTCTTAAGAATATCGTTCTTTCACATTAGTCTGTGCAACAACAAGAACTATAATACAACAATAATTTTTCGATATATCCAGAATACTTTGCGACACAAATTAGATTAGAAATTATACACTGCTTACCAAAAGTGAGAGAGCTCCAAACATAAGCATCCACAAAAAGTCTGCCGTTCTCTTGTCAAACGGTCCTCTCTCCAATGCAACACCATATCTTGCTCTATTCCATTGGAAATATATAAAAATAATAAAAAATAAAAGCTTACTCAATTAGTTATATGAACAAGATATTGGACGAAATGGTCCAACCGATACATCTTTAGGGATAATATTTAGGTATTCGCTAGTGAGTATTCAAGTATTAAAGATAATACTTAGGTGTTCATTAGTGAATACTTTATGAGGGTATTTGTTTGCCCTCATTAGTTTTTACTGAACTAGATTGGACTAAGTATTAGTGTAGTCTCGTGCTTATTACATTGTGGGACTAGTGATGAGTCCATATTTATCTATATTTTTACCTTAATCTTAGTTATAATTTATTTAATATTTTGGTACAATTTTGATACTTTGCTCTATATTTCAACTACGGGACATGCAATTCTACTTTGGCCAAAATGGGATCAAATGAAGGAATTTTGGAGTAATTCCAATTGGAATAGATTCGTGAGTCTTTCAAGATGATTGTGTCAAAATTTCAAATTTTGATTCCTTGTCGTTTATTCGTGGCGAATAAAAGAAGGTTGACTGTAGCTTTCTCAAATGGATGTTTCTGGACGTTTTAGGCATTTTGAAGGTCAAGATAACATATTGGTTCCTTCTGAAGATTTGAAGAGGACATGTCAAGCTTTAAAAAGAGATATTTTGAGACCAAATCGGAGTTGATTTGGTCGGTCAAAAGAGGGTCTTCTTTGCAGTTCGAATATCACTTTGAATCGGAAACGTTTATTTATTATTTTAATTAGACTTCCAGATTTATTAGAAGACCTTGTTTAGGCAGGATAAGGAATAAAGACTATAAATATAGTGTAGCAGTGTATTAGGGTTGTCTATGCACTACTTTAGAAAACATTTTTGGCTTAGAGAATAAAATATTTATTTTTAGGGCGAGGCCATAAGCCTGATTAGTAAGAATATGTAGCTACTTTTCAATTTACTTAATGTGCATCTTGACATACATGTTTGTCTCACTTTTTTTATTTTATTTTAACCTTGTGATGTTGCTCACTCTGTTTTGTAGGTTTAGACGTTAGGCTCAGCTTTAGAAAGGTTACATTTCTTGCCCTCCCCCCACCCCCTAAATTATTAATCATTGTGTTTAAAGTATCTTTGTGTCTGAATTGGGTAGATTTCTATAAAATTATTGGATTTTTAGGGTTTTAAATTTGTTTTCGTGGCCAATTTTGTCACAATTCCAAAATGTTTCTTGAAATTGAAATTGATTAGGAAACAATTGCTGTCTGGAATCTGGATGCTTACTCTGTTTTTCCAAAGTTTGATTATCAGAAATTTTGCTAGGTTGCGTTTGCTTCGCAGAAGATTAAGGACTAGGAATAACAATTAGTTATATTTTCATTATGCTGCTTCTTATTCCGACAATGCACCAAACGCTTCACTAAGTCAGTCCAATTTAGTATATTCTAAGTCAATCTAATTTAGTTCCTAAAGCTAGTCTAATGCAACAAACGCACTCTATGACTCGCTTTCTAATAATATTATCGGATAAAATAAAAAAGTGAACACTCACTAGTGAGTACCCACTACCCAATTATCACCCTAATCTTAATGCGAAAAGTCACATCTTTACTCACATCATTATAAGATCGCAAGCAAACGGGAAGGAAAAGGGTCCGAGAAAGAAGAAATTGGTAACAAGCCTCCAAACCTTCAATCATCATGATTCATTAGTAAAACCAAAAAAACATGCAAGTATGGTAGCCAAATCTGAGATATCATAATTCTTTGAACGAAGAAAAAAATCAAACATGTTCGATCTTTCTTTCCGCATGTACGTATATGAATCTTATATAATCTTGTTGGCAGAAAGGTGAGCAACTAATTAGAGAAGATTAGATTTTGACTTACCTGGAAACGTTTTATGACAAGGCCATAATCAAGGGCTATGTTCCAAGGATTATAAAGTTGGAAGTACAAGGCAGCTGCAAACATAAAACATCCGACTCCATACGTCTTGCTCACCGGCGGTAGAGATCGATAGTATCTGCAATATCATGGTGAGGAATTCATTTAACAAGCTTCATCGAGAAGATAATCTCGTCTAATCCTATATTTATGTAACAAAACGAGCGTGTGTTTTCATGAAGAAAACAAAAATTACAGATATCCATATCGAGTTAGATGAAGAGAGGTTGCTTACTCCCCAGGCGTAGACATTGTAAGCAAACGTTTATGGGAGCTGGAAAGTTGAAGTGAAAAATGATCGAGTTACGACCAATTAATACAATTATATATATATATATACACACACATATACATATATATATATATATATTATATAAAGAATGTATATATTTTCAGCATTTTCTTTATGAAGGTGTTGAAAAATCCAAAGAAGAGACATTGGGGTCGTCGCCATAACCCAACGTAAGGGTCATGGAAAAGACTTTGGTTCAATAACCCAACATAAGGGTCAGGGAAAAGACTTTGATTTCAACCAAGTCTTCCTTCCATTATCTTCGCTCCATTGACCACGTATGCATTGAACCCAGAGCAAATCCGCTCCACTAATACGATTAGGGGGCGTTTGCCCTCACTAAGTGGGACTGGACTAGACTGGACTAGCTGTTAGTCCAATACTGTGTTTGTTCCATGCTGAGACTAACATTAATGAGACTAAATGGGACTAGCATGGACAAAACCCTTCACTAAGAGGTCTTAGCGAGACCCCCCAATAACCATGGGACTAGCTAAGACTATCTTCTCTCGTCCTCGTCATACTCAACAACCACTCCCAATAGACTCCCCGTTATCTCCGGTCACTTAGATCATAATAAAATATTAATAATTTATATATTAAATAATATAATATTAGAATTTGTTATTATCCAGCTTCTTAGTCCAACACTGCACCAAACGCTTCACTAAGTTAGTCCAGCTTAGTCTAGTCTAAGCCAGTCCAGCTTAGTCTAGTCTAAGCCAGTCCAGCTTAGTCCTTAAAGCTAGTCCAGTCCGAGATAATCCGGCGCAACAAACGACCCCTTACTACCCAGGCTATTGAGCTAAGACAATTACTGTCCACGTATGCATCGTACTTAGTGCAGCTTTTTTACATGATATGATTTGTTTAGAGTCAACCAAGATACTAACTTCGAACATTTTCAGCTATATATTGATACAAAATTCTCCCAGCATGGAATGTGCGATGCACAAAATTCTTAACGTGAGAGATTCTTCAGCGTGGTAGTCATACCACCATGTTATATTATAATTTCGCTCATGTTATAATATATATGTACGCGTACCATGTGTTGTTAATATATACTAGGTTAGAAAATTATCAACCTTCTTACTTTTTTTTCCGTAGAGTATCAATGTAACAATTAACACGCATTATAATACTACGTGGCAATGTGACAGTCATAACATTGTGGGGGATTGGGTTTGTTTGCATGCCTCAACTCAACAATTTGCAATTTTTCTACATTGCAACAAAGCATATTGAATACAGAACAAATGAACAACTAAATTTGAGCATTAAAATGTACGGTCTTAGGTTCGATTCTCACTAAAGGCGAATTTGAACTACATTGTTGCTAGCTCATTGTGAGACTAAGTTTATCCCCTTCCCTTTAGTATAGATAATATCGTTTGTTAAAAAAAAAGAAAAAAAAATAATCACTGGCGTTTTAGCCACGCTCATAGTAGTTGATAGGAATTATGATGTTTTTTAGCAAGGAGTAGGATTCTCTCTCATCTTCTTTCCATCACCTTCCATCTCTTCCTCTCACATTCTCTATTTTGTCTTTCTATTTTTATAAAAAAAAATAGAGTAAATTGTAGCAATGGTCCCTCAACTTTAATTAAATTGGAGCAATGATCCCTCAACTAAAAATCCATTACCATTAGTCCCTCAACTTATCAAAATGTGTAGCTATAGTTATTTTCATCAATTTTGTCAAAATTTTGTCAAAATAAGTTATGTTGGAATAACCATTTATATAATTAGGATCCCTCAACTCATCAAAGTGTGTAATTGTGGTCATTTTCGTAAATTACGTCAAAAATTTTGTCAAAACGAGTTATGTTGGAAGGACCATTGCTACAATTGGGTTAAAGTTAAGAGATTATTTCTCCAGTTGAATTAAAGTTGAGGGACCAATGGTAATGAATTTTTAGTTGAGGGACCATAGCTGCACGTTTTGATGAGGTGAGGGACCAATGGTAATTGATTTTTAGTTGAGAGACATTTGCTCAAATTGAATTAAAGTTAAGAGACCATAGTTACAATTTACTCAAAAAAATAATATAAAATATTGATATGCCTTAACCGTAACCGTTCAAATAAGAGGAAAGAGAAGGAGACGAAAAAAAACGAAGAGATAGAATCCTACTCCTTTTAGCAATAACTAGGGGCAACTATAGTTAGATATGGTGTACGGACTAGTATACCTCTCCTAGACTCCTATCCTGAAATACCAAAGACGATTAAGTTATTAGATTCCACTAATGCTGTATTCTTTGATAGGTCAAATCCTTATTACTTATTAGTTCCATCACCTTTATTTCTATCATTTCCTTTGTACGTGCCCACTCCTCCATCTCCACTTTCTAAGCACCATTGAATCTTTTTATTTCCTTCTCCAATATAAATTTAATGGACCAACATATTGATCTTGGCCTAGATATATGATTTATTCTCGGACTGTGGATCTGAACGAAACATTATATATTTTTTGGTCATTTATTGAGAAATGAGATTCGAACTCAAGTGTGTAAAAACAAACATATTATATAATCAACTAACTTAACTCACATCTGTCATGTATCACATTAAAATAAACTTGTTCAAAGTTTTATATTTAGTATGACAATGCAAGTTACAAAATATCTTAAAAAGTTTAATACAGTGGAACTGTGGAAATTGTAAAATTACATTAAAATCCATATGAAACAAACAAAAGCCATAGTAAAATAAAAAGAAGGCCACTCATCTCTCAAACCTCGGTCGTCATGACCCCCAACGTCGTTGCTTTTCAGGTCCTCCATTTATATAATATACACTAAAATCAAGAAGAAAAAATCACATTCCATTGCCACCAAAACCATATTCATCCGAAGTAATCCAACCTCAAAATCACAAACCTCTGTCTCTGTCTCTCTCTGTGTCTCTCTCTCTCTCTCTCTCTCTCTCTCTCTCTAGAGAGAGAAATGGACGACATGCCAAATATGTCTCCTCCGCCCAAGGGCGACCTGACGAACACAACTTATGGTACCATGATGATGAGCAGCAGCCTCACATGGGGCAAAGATGTCATCATCCTCTTCCCCAAGTGGCCTAACAACAACCTCAGCATGTACGTCTTGGCTCTCTTCTTGATCTTCCTCCTCGCTGTCGCCGTCGAGGTATTGTCCGTTTTGCCCAAACACAGACCGGCAGCCAAACCCTACCTATCCCTCCTCGGTCAGACCGGCGTCCACAGCTTTCGTACCGGTTTGGCTTACCTGGTCATGCTCTCTGTCATGTCATTCAATATCGGAATCCTCATCGCCGCCGTGGCCGGCCATGCGCTAGGTTTCTTCATCGTTAAGGTTCGTGATCATGGCCAACACCCCGACTCGCCCGAGCCCAAAGTTTGATTTATCTTCTTGTTGTTGATCGGTGCTTAAGTTTGTGTGGGCGCTTGGGTTTGTTTCTATCTTCTGTTTTTGTTGGTTTGTTATATAGTGCGTGACTATATTTAACGGGAAATAGTTTTGCTCACCATCTAATCTATTATTATCAGATGAGTTTAAATTTTGACATTTATGTGGCGGATAGAAATAAATCTCAGAATTTAAATTCATCAAGCGATGATAAATAAGGTGATGAACATCACTATCACTTAAGGATGGTGAGCAAAAGTTACCCCCATATTTTGTGTGTGGTTGCTTTTTTTTCACCAAAGATTTTCATGTGCTTGTTGTGTTGTGTTTTAGCTAGTTTGCTTGTGACTGAAATGAACTAATATTTGTATGATTTGCATTTCTGTTCGAATGAAGTAATATTTGAACTACACCTCAAAAAAGTTAAGGGAGAATCCTACTTCATTATTCTACCCTTCTCGTACCACTACACTTGATATACGTGTTACAATTGTAATGCGTTTGATACGCCACATCAGCATGTCAAACACATCACTATAGTGAGGCTCGTTTGGTAAATAATATTGGACTAAGCTAACTAAATTAAGGCATGTTGACTATTGAAATGAATAAAAAGGTCCGAATAGGTAGAAGCTAGATTACTCATAAACGAAACTTATTTCAATCCCCACAAACTGGTGAACATCAATACCTCATAACTTATTCTTTTTTTGAATGAGAAGTTTTAATACCCACAAAATTATGACCCTTCACCTCGGCCTTCAAATCTTACTAGCAAATTGTACCTGCATGTTGCAGCGGGTTTGAAACATTGTTGAAGATGTAGAAAATCTCGAAAATGTGTAAATTGTACCATGTGTTCGGGTGTTCCTTAGCATCTCAACTAAAACAATCAATAATTTATGCATTAATGAAAGCAAACTTCTTCCATTTAATTCAAACCCATCAAATTAATGAAGAACTAAATCCAACTCAGAATTTAAAATTCAAACTTTATATCAAATTAAGAAAAAAAATGTTTTTTCTTAATCTGACCAGTTGCCTGTTTTTGAGAACCTGCTCATGGTAGTAAACTCAAAAGTGGGAGCCAAATGCATCCCCTTGTACTTCTTATTGTCTCCTCCTCTTCCTATTTGTAAAGTCCATAAAGATGAAATCAGAATTCCTTCAATAAATGTTCCAGATTTGGCAATTCGAATGGACACATTTTTTAATTAACAAACCAAGATATTAGTAGTGGCACTGATAGTTAAACTTAGTAACAAAAAAAACTAAAATAAAAGCAAGAAAACTAAAAATTGAAAATTGATAGGACTTACAAATGCTCATTTTTACAACCTTCACCTAGATCACCTTCTCGAGGGTTGAAGGTACAGTTTGATCTAACACCTGATTTTGTCAAATTCAATAAACCAAATCATCAACAAAAACATTTAAATTTTAAAAATAAATCAAAAGAAAGGAAAAACTGAATTTCTAGAGACAGAGAGATTGAACCTGGAAGGTCTCGTGGTCGATGTTGAGGTGGTGGTTGAGACGGTGAATCGAGCTGGGCGAAGTGGGTTGTGGAGACGGCGAGAGGAAGCCTGCTGGGGTAATGGCAAGGTGAGCGAGGCCACAATCAGTACTTAAACAACATTAATTAGCAAGGTTTACATTGTTATATTGAATATCTGACATCTCAAAGAAACAATGATAAAACTGCTTTTCCAGAATCATTAGTGCATGACTGAAAGCTTGAAAAGGCAACATGACTCAAAAGTTTGAAAATTGTATTTGCTGCTATTCTAATTAAGAGTTGTATATAGCAATGATTTAATCGTAGATATTGCAATTTCAATGGAAGATACAACAACAACAACAACAACAAAGCCTTTTCCCACTAAGTGGGGTCGGCTATATGAATCCTAGAACGCCATTGCGCTCGGTTTTGTGTCATGTCCTCCGTTCGATCCAAGTACTCTAAGTCTTTTCTTAGAGTCTTCTAAAGTTTTCCTAGGTCTTCCTCTACCCCTTCGGCCCTGAACCTCTGTCCCGTAGTCACATCTTCGAACCGGAGCGTCAGTCGGCCTTCTTTGCCCATGTCCAAATCACCGGAACCGATTTTCTCTCATCTTTCCTTCAATTTCGGCTACTCCTACTTTACCTCGGATATCCTCATGCCCAATCTTATCCTTTCTCGTGTGCCCACACATCTCACGAAGCATCCTCATCTCCGCTACACCCATTTTGTGTACGTGTTGATGCTTCACCGTCCAACATTCTGTGCCATACAACATCGTTGGCCTTATTGTCGTCCTATAAAATTTCCCCTTGAGCTTCAGTGGCCTACGACGGTCACATAACACGCCGGATGCACTCTTACACTTCATCCGTCCAGGTCGTATTCTATGGTTGAGATCTCCATCTAATTCTCCGTTCTCTTGCAAGATAGATCCTAGGCAGCAAAAAACGGTCGCTTTTTGTGATCTTCGCTAGATTGCTCCGGTCATTAGTGTGGATAAGTATATAAATGAATAGAGATAGGAAAGCAAACACAAGATGTACGTGGTTCACCCAGATTGGCTACGTCCACGGAATAGAAGAGTTCTCATTAATTGTGAAGGGTTTACACAAGTACATAGGTTCAAGCTCTCCTTTAGTGAGTACAAGTGAAATGATTTAGTACAAATGACATTAGGAAATATTGTGAGAGAATGATCTCGTAATCACGAAACTTCTAAGTATCGGAGTGTGGTATCGTCTTGACTTGCCTTATCTGTCTCATAGGTAGATGTGGCATCTTCTCTGGAAGTACTCTTCCTCCATCCAGGGGTGGTATCTTTAACTGGTGGAGATGCACAAGGTAATGTATCAATTTCACTTGAAGCTTACTTGTAGTTTCAGGCTTGGTCAAGCGCGATACAAACCATGTAGTAGGAGTCTCCCAAGTCGCCGAGCTAGGGGATCTGCTGAAAGAGGTGACAGACAAGGTAAGCAATCAGAGCTCCGGCTGATTGTTCACCTTCTCCCCATCTTGCAGCAGCATGAAGGATAAAGAGAAGAAAGATGAGAAGAGATGATATGGGATACTTTTGCTTTTGAAGAAGTAACTTTCCACAGGCTTATTCTTGAACTGAGCTGGAGGGTTTTCTGGTTTCCTCCAGAGCCGACTGAAGAATTTGAGGGTCAAAACAAGTCCATCAAATCTAGAGTACGTTCGACCCTGCTGATATGGGATACTTTTGCTTTTGACAGAGTAATGGATGTATCGGCACGTGTGTTGTTACGCTTGTCTCCACATGCTTCCTTGTATCATTCGCACTTGCCCTATCTGTTCCTCAAGCAGATGCGGTATCTTCCCTGGAAACATAAGATGTTGAAGAAAAGTACTCGAGAGCAATGTCAGGTAAGTAATCAGGTAAGGGGTTCCAGGCAGTCAGTTCCTGGCTGGAAGCTTGATTCCAAGTGCTGACTGATTGCTCTCTTTCTCCTTGTCTTGCAGGTAACAACAAGGCCAAAGGAAAAGACAGGGAAAAAGCATGATATGGGATACTCTTGCTTTTAACCCTAATGATATGAGATATTCTTGCTCTAGTATAGCTTGTTTGCAAAGGTATTATCGGGGGGAAAGAAAGCTGAATATTTCGAAAGGCTTCGTTGGGAGTGCCCTCTCAAATATGAGGAAGGGTTGAACATTTTTGCAGGTCTGCCTGTCCGTTGGGGATGGAGGTCGACATATATAGGAGTCTCTCTAACAACAAGTAGTAATGCTATTCCTTTACCCTGCTTGGTCATAGCACGGTAGTGGGAGCTGCCAGCTTCACATGTTTTAACTCTGTCAGAGCACTTTGAAAAAGTGGTCTGTGCTGTCTCGAGAAGTCTTCGACAGAATGCCCATAATTTCCGCAAAGCTGAGTGTGCGTGTGACAGGTGCTGACAAGGCTAGAAAAGTAGGTGCCTCTTCGATTTCTGAGATCGGCCCTCGTGGTCTCTGAGCAGCCCAGCTTTTGAGAAACGAGCGTCTTTGATTGAATTCGAGCGATGTCGATTTTTGAGCATCATTTGAGATCTCTCTCGAGATTCGGAGGGCTGCCTCTTCGATTTTGGAGCAAGCATCTTGTTGGGAGTGTTTTTCTCGAATGTGAGTAAAGGTTGGGCATGTTTGCTAGTCTACCTTGCCACGAAGCACAGAGGTTGACACACAGGGATTTTCCAATTATCCAGCAATGGTACTGTTCCTTTACCCTCTCTTCTTCGATTTTGAGAAAGTAGTCATGTTGGGAGTCTGGCTCTCGAGAGTTCGGAGGACGGTGCCTCTTCGATTTTGGAGCAAGCAATCTTATTGGTAGTGTTTTTTCGAGTGTGAGTAAAGGTTGGGCATGTTTGCTAGTCTACTTGCCACGAAGCATAGAGGTTGACACACAGGGACTTTCCAATTATCCAGCAGTGGTACTACTGTTCCTTTACCCTTGTGGGTAATAATATGGTAGCTAGAGACCTTCAAAAATTTTATGGGTCTAAACTTTGTTAGTGCTGTTTCTTTGCTATTCTTTTACCTTTCTTGGTCAGAGCGATGTAGTGGGAGCTGCAAGCTTTACGTGCTCAATTTTGGCAGAGAACTTTGGCAAAGTTATCTGTGGTACTCATGAGCTAGCTATTGTTGCGTGTGGGAAGTGGGTGATTGAACAGTAAGATTCATGTGTTTTTCTACTTCCTCAGAAGTCTTCGACAGAATGCCCATAATTTCCGCAAAGCTGAGTGTGCGTGTGACAGGTGCTGACAAGGCTGGAAAAGTAGGTGCTCTCTTCGATTTCTGAGATCGGCCCTCGTGGTCTCTGAGGAGCCCAGCTTTTGAGAAAGCGAGCGCCTCTTCGATTTCTGAGATCGGCCTTCGTGGTCTTTGAGCAGCCTAACTTTTGAGAAAGCAAACGCCTCTTCGATTTCTGAGATCAACCCTCGTGGTCTCTAAGCAGCCCAGCTTTTTGAGAAAGCAAACGCCTCTTCGATTTCTGAGCAGGCGCCTCTTCGATTTCTGAAGATCCGTCGAGTGCAGATTTTTATAGGGGCTGGCATTAAGTTCCAAAGCACACTTGAATCTCCACCAGTAGAAGCTCCATTCTTGCACTTCTAAGATCTTGATTTGTCCCAACCTCTTCTCTCTTCAACACCTTTGAAAATGTCTGGTCCCTCCGACCGTCGTTTTGACTTGAACCTTGTTGAAGAGGCAGCCCCGCCTTCTCCAGACAACATATGGCGCCCATCCTTCGTCTCCCCTACTGGTCCTCTTACCGTTGGGGATTCCGTGATGAAGAATGATATGACTGCTGCAGTGGTGGCCAGGAACCTTCTCACTCCCAAAGATAACAGACTACTTTCCAAACGGTCTGATGAGTTAGCTGTTAAGGATTCGCTGGCTCTCAGTGTTCAGTGTGCAGGTTCTGTGTCTAATATGGCCCAACGCCTATTTGCTCGAACCCGCCAAGTTGAATCATTGGCGGCTGAGGTGATGAGTCTCAAACAGGAGATTAGAGGGCTCAAGCATGAGAATAAACAGTTGCCCCGGCTCGCACATGACTATGCTACAAACATGAAGAGGAAGCTTGACCAGATGAAGGAAACTGCTGATGGTCAGGTTTTACTTGATCATCAGAGATTTGTGGGTTTGTTCCAAAGGCATTTATTGCCTTCGTCTTCTGGGGCTGTACCGCGTAATGAAGCTCCAAATAATCAACCTCTGATGCCTCCTCCTTCTAGGGTTCTGTCCAGTACTGAGGTTCCGAATGATCCCCCTCCGGTGCCTTCTCTTTCTGGGGCTCTACCGACTGCTGAGACTTCTCCTAAGCAACCCTTGTGAAGGCCTCCCTCTTGTTTGTTTATTTTGACTCATGTATATGTACACATTTGTAGCTTATCGGGGATATCAATAAATAAGTTTTCCTTCATTTCAACGTATTGTGTTAAATACACCAAAACCTTCTTCGCTAAGTTCTTTGAATTTTCTTTTGTTGAAGCTTGTATGTTGAAGCTTTCTGAGTGGAGCATGTAGGTTGGGGTAGTGTTCCCTTAATTTCCCGAGTGAGGAAAACTCTCTCGATTGGAAACTTGGAAAATCCAAGTCACTGAGTGGGATCGGCTATATGAATCTTAGAACGCCATTGTGCTCGGTCCTGTGTCATGTCCTTCGTTAGATCCAAGTACTCTAAGTCTTTTCTTAGAGTCTCTTCCAAAGTTTTCCTAGGTCTTCCTCTACCCCTTCGGCCCTGAACCTCTGTCCCATAGTCGCATCTTCTAATCGGAGCGTCAGTAGGCCTTCGTTGCACATGTCCAAACCACCGTAACCGATTTTCTCTCATCTTGCCTTCAATTTCGGCTACTCCTACTTTACCCCGGATATCCTCATTCTTAATCTTATCCTTTCTCGTGTGCCCACACATCCAACGAAGCATCCTCATCTTCGCTACACCCATTTTGTGTATGTGTTGATGCTTCACCGCCCAACTTTCTGTGCCATACAGCATCGCTGGCCTTATTGCCGTCCTATAAAATTTTCCCTTGAGCTTCAGTGGCATACGGCGGTCACACAACACGCCGGATGCACTCTTCCACTTCATCCATCCAGCTTGTATTCTATGGTTGAGATCTCCATCTAATTCTCCGTTCTTTTGCAAGATAGATCCTAGGTAATGAAAACGGTCGCTCTTTGGTATTTCTTGATCTCCGATCCTCACCCCTACCTCGTTTTGGCCTCCATTTGCACTGAACTTGCACTCCATATATTCTGTCTTTGATCGGCTTAGGCGAAGACCTTTAGATTCCAACACTTCTCTCCAAAGGTTAAGCTTTGCATTTACCCCTTCCTAAGTTTCATCTATCAACACTATATCGTCTGCGAAAAGCATACACCAAGGAATATCATCTTGAATATGTCCTGTTAACTCATCCATTACCAACGCAAAAAGGTAAGGACTTAAGGATGAGCCTTGATGTAATCCTACAGTTATGGGAAAGCTTTCGGTTTGTCCTTCATGAGTTCTTACGGCAGTCTTTGCTCCTTCATACATATCCTTTATAGCTTGGATATATGCTACTCGTACTCCTTTCTTCTCTAAAATCCTCCAAAGAATGTCTCTTGGGATCCTATCATACGCTTTTTCCAAATCTATAAAGACCATGTGTAAATCCTTTTTCCCATCTCTATATCTTTCCATCAATCTTCGTAAGAGATAGATTGCCTCCATGGTTGAGCGCCCTGGCATGAACCCGAATTGGTTGTCCGAAACCCGTGTCTCTTGCCTCAATCTATGCTCAATGACTCTCTCTCAGAGTTTCATTGTATGACTCATTAGCTTAATACCCCTATAGTTCATGCAATTTTGTACGTCACCCTTATTCTTGTAGATAGGCACCAAAGTGCTCGTTCGCCACTCATTTGGCATCTTCTTCGTTTTCAAAATCCTATTGAAAAGGTCAGTGAGCCATGTTATACCTGTCTCTCCCAAAACTTTCCACACTTCGATTGGTTATATCGTCTGGGCCTACTGCTTTTCTATGCTTCATCTTCTTCAAAAGCTACAACCACTTCTTCCTTCCGGATTCTACGAATAAAAAGAGTAGTTTCTACACTCTTCTGAGTTACTCAACTCCCCTAAAGAAGCACTCCTTTCATGTCCTTCATTGAAAAGATTATGAAAATAACCTTTCCATCTGTCTTTAACCGCGTTCTCTGTAGCAAGAACATTTCCATCCTCATCCTTGATGCACCTCACTTGGTTTAGGTCCTTTGTCTTCTTTTCCCTTGCTCTAGCTAATTTATAGATATCCAACTCTCCTTCTTTGGTATCTAGTCGCTTATACATATCGTCATAAGCCGCTAACTTAGCTTCTCTCACAGCTTTCTTCGCTTCTTGCTTTGCTTTTCTATACCTTTCACCATTTTCATCGGTCCTATCCTTGTATAAGGCTTTACAACATTCCTTCTTAGCCTTCACCTTTGTTTGTACCTCCTCATTCCACCACCAAGATTCCTTTTGGTGTGGGGCAAAACCTTTGGACTCTCCTAATACCTCTTTTGCTACTTTTCGAATACAACTAGCCATGGAATCCCACATTTGGCTAGCTTCCCTCTCTCTATCCCACACACACTGGGTGATTACTTTCTCTTTGAAAATGACTTGTTTTTCTTCTTTTAGATTCCACCATCTAGTCCTTGGGCACTTCCAAGTCTTGTTCTTTTGTCTTACTCTTTTGATATGTACATCCATCACCAACAAGCGATGTTGATTAGCCATGCTCTCTCCTGGTATAACTTTGCAATCCTTACAAGTTATACGATCCCCTTTCCTCATTAGAAGAAAATCTATTTGTGTTTTTGAAGACCCACTCTTGTAGGTGATCACATGTTCTTCTTCTCTCTTCTTAAAGAAGGTGTTGGCTAAGAAGAGATCATCATATGCCATTGCAAAAATCCAAGATAGCTTCCCCATCCTCGTTTCTCTCCCCAAAACCATGGCCACCATGAAAACCTCCATAGTTGCCTGTCTCTCCCTGCCCACGTGTCCATTTAAATCTCCTCCTATAAATAACTTCTCCGTCTGAGCAATTCCTTGCACCAAGTCTCCAAGATCTTCCCAAAATTTCTCCTTCGAACTCGTATCCAACCCTACTTGAGGTGCGTACGCACTAATCACATTGATAAGTTCTTGTCCTATTACAATCTTGATTGCCATGATTCTATCTCCTACCCTCTTGACATCTACAACATCTTGTACCAAGGTCTTGTCCACGATGATGCCAACACCGTTTCTCGTTCTATTTGTGCCCGAATACCAAAGTTTAAACCCTGAGTTTTCTAGATCTTTTGCCTTACTACCAACCCACTTAGTTTCTTGTAGGCACATAATATTTATCCTTCTCCTCACCATAACTTCCACTACTTCCATAGATTTTCCCGTTAAGGTTCCTATATTCCACGTTCCTAAACGCATTTTGCTCTCTTGAACTCTACCCTTCTGTCCTAGCTTCTTCACCCTCCCCCGTCTAATAGGATCAAAGTACTTCTTTTGTGTGTCCCGGGTAAAGTTGATAGGAGCATATGCTCCCAAACAACTTTGAGTGGAGTCGTTCGAAAAGAAGTTTCTATGGCCCCCTTGCTCATTTAACACTGCATCCGGGTGCCGATGGAGATACAGCGACCCTTACTCACTTATCACTGTGCTCGGGCCACACAGCGCGCCACTTACGGGTGACGCCCTAGCTTTAGCGCGATTTTGTTCTGGATTCATTTTCATAAGGATTCGACGTGATCATGGAGTGCCGGCTGTCGACTACCTGACGCCCTCCCCCTCCTCCTTTATCCGGGCTTGGGACCGGCCATGTAAGACATAGGCGGAGTTTTCAATGGAAGATACAGAAAATAAAAAATAAAATAAAAAACAACATTATGTTTTTGGTCCTTTATTTTAAACAAAAGAAAAAATAGTTGTTAAGCATTTGCCACTCTGTGTATAAAAACCGGACACACGCTTTGCAGTAGAACTGGAACAAAGAGCAAGAGTTGGACAAAACTTTGTCCAGTTCATGGACATGATGGTTTCCAAGTTAGAGTTTGCTTTCCAATTCAAATTATTGATTTGTGCTGTGCATGTGCCAATCCATGAAAAAATGATTCCAAGTTTTTCAATATAATGTAGGTTATAACAATGAGTTTGAAACTTTGAGTATTAGTCCAAATAGACTGAATTCATTTCAATCTGGAGACAGAGGAAATTCGAGGAGCCGAGTTGCAGGGAGAAGAGATAACGAAATTAAAGAAACTAACGCAACAAATTAATCAATCAATTTCAGAAAATTAGAGGAAAAATTAACAACCCTGAACAAATAGGATCTGGATGAATCTTACAACATACCTGAGTTCAATTCAACTTGTCCGACAACAGTCCAAACCGCGACGCCGTCAAACTGACAAAAATTCGCCGGAAGGTCAGTCCCAACTCCGGGATCGCCGATGATAACAGAGACCAACACCCTGAAATTCTTTCCCCAGCGATCGCAAGATGAGGTTAAAACGATCGAACCCAATTTTATAAGCGTGGACAAAACACACAACCAGTCGAAAAACACAGACCGGAAACAAAATCGCCAGACAACCGAAGGATCCAACACGAAGAGAGCGAGATGAAGACGGAGATAAGCAAAAGGCAAACAGAAAAGCAAACAGGAAAGCAAAGTGAAAACAGAAAAGCAAAAGTGAAGAAAAGGAAACAGAAAATCAAAGAGAGACAAAATGGAACGACCCAAAATTCATACAGACAACGCAAACATCAATTCCAGATGTTAGTTTTTTACTATAGTGGTGAGAAGATGTTAAGTCCTTACACGACGGCATGAGTATATTGATACAACATGCGTGATTATACTTTCTATTTCAGTTGATGTTGTTCTCTTGGGCTTAATGCATTCATTTATATTCAAGACTTTTCATTTAGATTCAAGACCTTGTATTATTAAATGCAATTTCGGATCCCACAATTATTTCAATTGAGGAAAATAAAAGTTTCAATTTAATTTTAATTTTCTTTCTGTAGCTCAACCTTTCCTCATCCTTCTCGATAAACCCGAGAGAACCTGAAATTTTATGTTTGTTTACAATCAAACGACATGCTATCATACTAAAAAATTAACTTATCTTTTACCTTTTTCGAAAATAATAGGAAGTTGGTTTGATGGACGTTCTTAACTTATCATAAATGATAGATTTTTCAATTTCGTTATCTCCTTAAAACCTTTAGCTTATCGTCCTAAAGTCATGTAATAAACCTGCCTCTGTTATTTTTCTACTATTGAGTGGGATAATATTGATTAATTCTCCACATTGCAATTAGTCAGATTAATAACTAGAGGAAAAAGAATGGCTTCTTCAGTTCACTTTTTGCCCAGAAAGTAGAACTTACATCTGGAGGCAAACCAAGAATCCAAAATTCTGTTTTCACTTTGCATGATTGGGGGAGAATGCACACAAACACTGACTACCAAATGAAATTCATATAGATAATCCAACCATCAATTCCTGATAACATTTTTCTTACGTGAAGATAAAATCAACTAAATCCAAGAATCCAAAAACTACCTGTACCATCACATCTGAGCTCCTCGCAAGCCGAGCAACCCTCAACGACGGCATCCACGGCGGAGAACCCATTATCCGCAGCCCTCCATGCTACTCTGACAGCCTCTACGAAGGGCCATGTGCTCACCACCACAGGGTACTGCCCTGAATCCGAAGCTTCGTGGCCTATGACCTGATAACCCATCAATAAAAATACGATCTTTATTAAGATTGGAAGCGAGCTCAGACGGTTGGCAGCCATGGAAAGGGGCAATGATTGCTGCTCTGTTATCTTTGGAGCTACTGGGCACGAGTTTGACTAACACGTGTTTTAGTCCAAATGCACATTTGGTCAATGTGGCTAAACCAATGGCTAACTTTGTCAAATCAAGCATAGTTGTCCTTTTTAGAGTGTTCACGTACTCATGTGCAAATATACAATTTTTGTTTCCTAGGAATGGCGCTGTGAAATTTAGTGTGAATGCCATATAATGAGAAAGCAAACTAAATCAGATTTTGGTGACAACCTTTAAAAGTCTTGAGTGAAAAGTCTTAGGGTGGCAAAAATTTTCTTCATACATATAGAATTGTGTCAGATCGAAATGTCTATAGATAGAGGTATGTTTGTAACCTCATTACAACACATAAGATAAAAGAATAAAAGTAATAATATCAATATTCGTCCCTTCTCTTTACATGTATAATTTGTGTGATATAGTTACGAAAATAAACAATGTGAAATTTGTAAACTTTTGCATGCATTCTTGTTCAGGAAATTGACCAGGACCCCTATCGTTCCGAACTTGCTGGTCGTGCTCGGGCAGGAGATCTCCCACCTCTTGGACTGGGGTAGAATGCTCAAGGTAACTAGCTAGGAGAGGGGCCTAAGTACGGCGGATGCCGTACACTTGAGTGGAAAAGGAATGCGAGATCATACCAATTTTTTCCAGGCCTGTCAGGACATATGGTTCCTGCGGCCTAATCAAGTTGGTGAGCGTGTGATGGCTTAAAGACCTTTCGACTCCTGACATTTTCTTCGATGATTTCCCACCCGAGATGCTCTCTTACAAACTCGAGATATTTATACTCTAATACGCTCCTCTCTAAAATTTGTAGGGGGATCATTCCCACCCGAGATGCTCTCTTACAATCTCGAGATATTTATACTCTTATACGCTCCTCTCTAAAATTTGTAGGGGGATCATTTTTGTGCAAGTTTGTAACCAAGATATCAACTAATTAAGGAGAATATTACTTCATGCTACATCGATTTAGGCCTCCCATCCCTACAAACTGGATGACAATATATTCCCTCACGATATGAAGAACTATGTCATAACAAAACTCCTACAGTTGACTTTTACATCAATGTCTCGCCGCAAAATGAAAGGATGAGAAAATGACCATATATGCTTAACAATCTCCATGCGTGACGAACAAGAATCTCTCATAACAAGATACGGAACTTGCATGCTGAGTACAACCATTTCATTTTGAATAGATCATGTTCATTGATAGTTGCTCACAAGTACAATGCAATTTCAGACTATTATTTTCTTACCGGAGTTTAAGGCATTTTTTTCTCAAAAAAGAAGAAAAGGGAAATCATGGCCCATGCACATTTTACACAAACAAATCACACTAGAACACCCTACACAAACAGATGGAGAAATTTGCATACTTTCGAAAGTTAATACTGTAAGAGAAGGAGTGGTCTCGTACACTACGTTATCTTTGCTTGTACTCCAAGTCAGTGACTTCTATATACTTGCACCTTGTGCTATCAATATAATAATCCAAAATCCGCAACTCAAGTCTATATCTAACGAATACAAAAACATCCTTGCGTACAAGGTGTAAAGGCCCATTGAATTCAAAGGTTTGAGGGGATGTACTAAATTCGGAGGGTCCATTTGAATACAAAAACATCACATATTCCACAAATGATAATACAATATAGAAAAAAGGGGACTAGTTACGGTACATGCAGTATTCACTATCTAACGATCATAAATGGTCAAATTTGATAGTCTATCTTTTTAGTCGCATATATAAACGTTTAAATAGTGAATGTACTAAATACATGCATAAACCGTAGCCAAGTCAATATTATTGTGAAATTATACAAACAAAAACATTTAGAAATAAGAGTAAAGGAAAGTACCATTACGAGGCTTCTCGGTCGACTTGGTGGTGTCAAGCTGGTCGTTGACCAGGGTCAAGCTAAAGTTGGCACATCAACTCCACCCAGATGGCAATTAAACTTAAGGAAAATTAACGAAAAGTAAAAAAAAAAACTTTTTTTTTAACGAAAAACCCATTTTAAAGGTATAGTGAATAGTGACAGTTAAAGGTAAAAATGTGATTTTTCGTTAAAAATGAACAGTACCGGAAGTGTTTTGTTAAAACTCCCTTAAAGTTATAAATTTGTGGGCTTTTATGGCCTACTATTGGTAATTTGAAGGAGCGTAAGGAGGGTCGGTCCAAGTTTACCCTGGACTAGGGATGGACAAATACCCATCGGTTATGGGTAACCCTGGTTACCCGTCCATTTAAATTTCACGGTTACGGTTATGGGTATAACCGTTTACCCACGAAATTTAAATGGGCGGTTATGTGTATTAACCGCGTTATAAATGGGTAACCGTTTACCCATTTATTTTATATATGTAAAATTTACTCAAACCATGTTCCCTATCGGACAAAACTTAGATCAATGCTATTGACTATAGTGCATGATTTATGTAGCTAATATAATATAGTTTTCCTTAACCACTTTAAATTTCATGGTCCATTATATATATATATTATGTTAATACTTTACATTATGAGTTAAATAACCCAAGAATATTGTCATTTAAAATTTTTCATAACCCAATAATACTTAGCAAATTTTATATTACCTTCATTGTTAACAGTTAAAAATATCGTCCGTAAACTATTACTTCAATTATTGGAATGGTTTAAGGACTTAAAAATTTTAAATGTGGAAATGTATGATGAATGTACCTATAGTGGTGTTTAATTGTTAGAAAAAGAAAATTATGACAAATTTTTCTTTTTTAATTTTCAAGTTGTTAAAAAAACACGTAGACGGGTGAAAAATGAGTAAATGGTAAAAAGAAAGGATAAACGGGTTAAAAATGATAAATGGGTAAACGGGTACTAAACTGTTACGGTTAAATGGCTACACGGTTATGGGTATGGTTAATCGTTTATAAACGGTTATGAGTATGAGTATAACCGTTTAGGCAATTACCCAACGGGTAAACGGTTATGCAGGTATGCGAATAAACGGTTATGGATAAATAACCGCGGTTACCCGCTCGCCATAACCGTTCCCTATCCCTACCCCGGACTAACCGAAATGCCCTTCTTTCACAGTAGCGAAAGTGTGACTCGGGTCAACGACATGGGTATTCTGGTAATCTCCTCCAAGGGAAGAAACAGGGGTGTGCACTGTGCACCCTAGATTGACCCAAATCCCCTTCGCTCCCGGAAAGGAAAGTTGGACTTGGGTCAGCGGCATTGGACCCAAGCCCAAGTAAGAAACCTCACAAACCCACTGGGTTTCAAATAGCGCAGCAATGCAGAGGACGAACACAGCAGCCCATTGGACTTCAAAATCACAACGGAAGAAAGCCATTGTGTTTTTTATGGTTTATTCCTAGCGAATGTTTGGATCACACCCCTGTCAGGGTGAGTTCAAGAGGTTAAGAGATACTTGGTACTGTCAAAGAAAGAGATTTGAAGTGAGTAATCAGCTAAAGTTAAAGCAAGTGGTTATTTACCATACTAGTGGGAAGATGTTAAGTCCTTATATGACGGTGTGGGCATGTTGATACAACATGCATGATTATACTTTCTATTTTAGTTGATGTTGTTCTCTTGGGCTTAATGCATTCATTTAGATTCAAAACCTTTCATTTACAATTGAATTTACGAGTGAAGAAAAATATCACTAGATCATAGTATTAAATAACAATTTAAATAATATGTTTCATTTACAAGTGAAGCAAAGAGAAATACTACTAAATCATAGTACTAAATAACAATTTAAATAACGCGGTAAAAGAAAAAACATAGAGTAATTCAATCAAGAGAACCCACGTGTAAGTTGGCTTGTATTATTAAATGCAATTTTGGATCCCACAATTATTTCAATTGAGGAAAATAAAAGTTGCAATTTAATTTTAATTTTCTCTCTATAGCTCAGCCTTTCCTCATCCTTCTCGATAAACCCGAGAGAACCTGAAATTTTTGTTTGTTTACAATCATTTCAAAAAATAATAGGAAGTTGGTTTTATCATAAATGATAGATTTTTCAGTTCCGTTATCTCCTTAAAACCTTTAGCTTATCGTCCTAAAGTCATTTAATAAACCTGCCTCTGTTATTTTTCTACTATTGAGTGGGATAATATTGATTAATTCTCCACATTGCAATTAGTCAGATTAATAACTAGAGGAAAAAGAATGGCTTCTTCAGTTCACTTTTTGCCCAGAAAGTAGAACTTACATCTGGAAGCAAACCAAGTCTGGTTCACAGGTAACTGACTACGCTAAAAGACCTTTATTGATATCTTTGAATTAATTGGATTCAACCAATATCTATCATGGCAGTTGAGCTACTTCACAGAAATTATTGTTCTGCATGCATATATGGGGCCATGACTATGAGATTTGTAACTTCAAGTATTCTGCATGCATGTACAAGGATGCGACTAATTAGGGTTTTAACTAGTGATCAAAATGGAAATTGTGTGTATGACTATGAAGAGCATTGAATCTTTACATGAGTGGGTGAACATTTATGTTGTTAACTTAAAAATGTATCTACATCTATAGGTATGTTTTTGTGAACAAAGAACGTTAGCTAGGCCGCTAGGCCGTGTATAGGCTTATTCAAGGGTGATTAGCTAGTGTGGTTTTGGTAATTAGATTCAAGAACACCCTCTGCAAAATTAATCTCTGCAGGGTATATTAAAGATCAAAATGTGTATTAGATTCTTTGAAG